ACAGCTTCTCCAACAAGCTCTGAATCCTATGCTTGGGACGAGAGCACCTCTTCCAAGATGTTTCCTTCTGAGGCATCCCTCCAGCCCTAGGTATTCTTGATATTTTTCTTTACTACTTTTAGATGATCCCCATAACAGTTAATAATTATTTATATTAAACTCTGTTTAAATTACTGCATAGCCCTAGGCTTCACATTGGACCATGACTGATATAAACATATAAAGCAGAAATTTGGGTTTGAGTACTCACTCTTCTTCAGTCTTCTAGAAATTCAGTGCATTTAAGAATCTATGGGTTTACCTATTTATTGCTGACTTTTCACCTGGGTATTCTCCTTCCTAGAGTGCTCCCTCTGGGCCCTATTTTCCTTTCCTCAGATCCTACCTCACATCCAGGTTAGCTCTACTATGGCCTCTGACTTTTATTGATTCCTCTCTTTTTAAAATTGTTATAATTATTATTATACATACTAATTAAATAACCCCTCATGTATTTTAGTTGTTGCTTTCTTTTCTCAGTTATTTAAAAATATTACTTTTTCTTTGATGGAACATTTTTATGAAACATTTTAATTAAAATTCTTTACGTGCATCTTTGGCAGTGTCTTCTATCAAATGTACCCAAATATAAAGAGAATTTTTTCCCCTTTAAAGGGATCTCTCTAAAAAGAGAGAGCTGCCTTCTATTCAAGTCCTTAAAAAACCTTTATAGAAAGATTTCTCTGTTACACAAAAATGTATTAAATGGAGAAACCACAGTTATTCTCATATTACATAAATTCTTATTTTGGGGGGATTATTGAGAGAGCGCTGACAAAATTATTTAAAAGAAAAAAGGAGTCAAAGACATTTAAGCTAGATTTTTTCCTTATTCCTTGGAGAGGGTGTTAAAAAGCTCACATTTGCAAAGATTGAAGATATTTAAAGAGTAGTTAAATGGTTTTGTTGTGGAGAAAGAAAACATAAAGCTACAGGACAAATGAAAAACAAACAAATAAACAAACAAAAAACCCAACAGTCTGCTTTACCTAGATTCTTATTGAAAGCATCTCCCACAAATTCAAAAAAAAAATGCTATACATCAGATAATTTAACTAGAAGTAAAAACGATCTGTTTTAGCTCTGCAAGTGGCACTTATAATGGGGAAGTCATTGTGGATAATTTAAGCAAAATGGTTGCATGAAATATGCAAGTGGGGCAAAACCCACCTACCTAAAGTAATATTTTACTTAATACATAATTAAAAATGTGTGTTTCTAACTAAATTATAATATAAATATTTTAAACAGGCATGAGTATCTTATCAACATCACTGAAAATCAATTAGGTCTTTGAATATTTCATTAGTAGCTTAAACATCTAATTATTTTACCAGGAAGAAGATGAGTATTGGAAGTTTACTTGGACATATAGGAGAGAGATATTCAGGGTGGCTTTATGTGTGGTCGTATGTGATAGGTATTCTGTGTTATCTAAGATATAAGATCTCTGGGGCAGAGATAGTGAAATATCCTATAGCTAGCCATATCCCAGTGACTAAGGTATTATTCTGAATGTAAGAACTCATCAATGTTGATCCTTAGGGATGTAACATTTAAAGACAATTCAGATGTTATTCTTTGCAGACTTTCCTGAGTCTCCTTCCTCCTGTGAAGGAATTGACCACTTACTTCCCTTGCCTTTGCCACAGCAGTCTAACCCTTTCCTGCACTTACCAATTGACCAATCTGTGTGCTTGTTCTTGCCACTATAAACTAATTCCCCAGGATGGGGCTCATGTGTCTCAGACCTGTAGAGCCATGAACAGCACTTGGTTCATAGATACTATGAGTGTTCGTTGTAATGAAGCATTCAGGAGCTTGAATGACTACAGAGGACCATAGGGTAACTTTCACTATTCCAGTTCATGTTTAGGGATGAAGTAGATTTAGTTAAAAAATTTAAAGATATGCCTTGCTATCCAAATTTCATTCTTGTTCTCTGAGTCTGAAGAACTAAAAACACTTGGATAGTGTTCTTCAGTATTAGGACGCTAGGAATTAAATACGAAAGTCTTTTAAAGCACATGTTAGATCTCAGACCCAGTTTAAGCATGGACTGAGATGGTGCCTAGGGCCTATATAAGTTGCTTGAGTGGAAGTGAGTGGCTGTGTTGCCTGCATTGAGACCACATATTTACTAGTAACTCTTTCAACCATTGCTTTAGTTTTTTGGTAGGCACTGTCCTATCTCTTCTGTCTTTGGGAGCTAAAGAGAGATGACTGCTGTTGTCACTAGAGTACCATATTAGGGTGGCATAAAATTAGGATTGCATAAAACTATAAGAAACAGAAAATTCAGGTCTCTGAGCTTTTGCTTATGGAGAAATTGTTTTAAATTTATACATAATATGACTTATTTCCACAAAAAGTTAAGCATTATTTGAGTAAAGTTAACACTTTCCATATGTAAAAGATGGTTTTATTTCTGAGTGTGGTATTGTGTCTAGCTGAAATGTAGAGCTAAGCTGTTGTTTTGATTTTGAACCATTGCATTAAAATGGCATTTTCATTCTAGAGAAGGCCTGTTAAGGAAAGAAGAACATTATTTTCTATCGAGTGCCTACTGTGCAGCCACAGTGCTAAATGCTTTCATGAGCATTGTTCCATTGAATTCCTGTGATGATCATATTTGCCACAATTTCTTCTTTGGTTTAAACTTTATTTTGAGGTAACTGTAGATTCACATGTTGTAAGATAAATCCTGTGTACCTTTGACTTGGCCTCTTCCAATGGTAATTTCTTATATAACTACCAGTAGCCCTGTGCACAAATCCGCGCACCAGTAGCTCACCAGTAGCTCTCTGCCACCTGCTTGTAGCTCGCTGCCCCAACCTCCTGCTAATCCATAATCCGGTTGTTACATGGTCAGTCATTACACTTCATGGCGTAATAACCATTTGCCTATTATATCTTTATTATATAGAAGAGTAGAGATTTGCAACTGGGAAATTGTCATTGATACAATCCATTGACCTTTTTTTCAGATTTCACCAATATTACATGTACGTGTGTGTGTGTATTTTGTTCTGTGCAATTTTACCATAAGTGTAGGCTACCATTTCTTTTTTAAATTATAAGGTAAACAAGGCTCAGATAAGGTATTTGGAATGCCTATAGTGTAGGCCTGGGGTTTGAATTTAGGTCTATTTGATTCAAACTTTTGCATTTTCAGTAGTAGAAATGATGAATAACAATATAATCAATTATAAAATATAATAAATTATAATTAATAATATCAGTAGTAATGATGAATAACAATATAATCAATTATAATATGGCTGAACCTCACTGAGTTACATATGAAACAGATTAAATACTTACTATGTATCTGAGACTATTCTAATGTATTAACTCATTTAATCCTCCCAACAGCTTGGAAGTTATATCTCAGTTGAATAAGTACCCTTATTTAAACTAATCATATTACCAAGAAGTAGGTAATTTTTTTACTATTCCTGAAGTCAGTAATAAAATAGTGATATTCTACTTTCTTTTTATATAATTCATATTTTGCACTTCTGACCTTAATCACTGATTTTGGAAGTGGTGATTACTGTGTGTGTGTGTGTGTGTGTGTGTGTGTGTGTGTATACATACATGAAATGAGCCCTATTTATATTGAGTTGTGTAGAGATACCTTAAAAATATTTACTAAATTGCAAATAAGAGCTATTTTAGGCAGGATGTCAGCGTTTTAAGGGAAAAAAATGTAAAACTCTAAGACTACTTAAGGACATAATTTTTTTCCCCTAGAGATTTTAGTTCTTTTTGGCCAAATACAGCCCTAGGAATGTTTGAATTTAATCGAATCTTTCAAATTACATATCTATCTTCCAAAGTGGACACTACTGCATTTGCCTGTGAATTATTACTGATTATCAGAATACTTAATGCTTTAGGAAGGTAATAGATAAAATGATCAATTGTCTATAATTTACTCTACAATCTTTGCTGTTAAATATTGTGCAAAGTTGTCCCTGTGATGAACAGCAGCACTTATTCAGACCAGAAATAACAACAGTCCCGTGTGTTGTAGATCCCAGGAGGTCTTGGTGTTTTTGTAGACAGCAGACAGAAATAAAAGGAATTTTGTCCTTTTTACCTCATGTAATCCCACTGGGAAATGAAACATGTGCTGTGAGTTGATATTGACTTCTGCCAGGTCACCTCCCTGAAGAGTCTTGGGCAAGCACCATTGCAATATTTCTTGGACAGGAGTCTGACAGCCCCCGAACGAGATGGATGGGCCATGAGTGTGCTACTGTGGAACACTGGGCTACTGTGCTCCAAGGGAGCGTCCATTGGGGAGCGCCTGGTAACCGCATTTTCAGAGCTATCAGAGCCCCCAAGTCAGAGACAAACGTAAACTTAAGTTCTACATAGTTGTTGTGTGTGTGTGTGTTTTTTTTAAAGTGGGTGACTGCAGTAATGTAGCATAAAGTATGGTTTATTCTGCCTTTTTACACCTTATTTTGGATATTAAATAATGCGAAGTTTTTGAAGCTGTATAAGGAATGATTTGGAAACCACGAAACCTTTTTAGTGGACCTCTGTATCAATTTTCTGTTCTTCTAAGGAAGAAATTTTTCCTAATCGTGACTCACTTCACTCTTTGGCTAACATTGAGGGAATGTAATAACAATTAAGGAAAGGAATGCATGCCTTTTCTTCTTTCATTGAAAGCTTGTACACATTTTCTGTCTCAGGTTATGCAAACTTGGAGGATTGTAGAATGTTGACAACTGTGAAAGTTAAAAACTGGCCTACTAATACATGCTAGCTTGAATTGAAAAATAAAAAAAGCTTCCTTTGCTTCTTTGGAGAAATGTTTTGCTGGATGGTCCAGAATACAAATCCAGCAAAAAAAGACATGTTCCAGCCGTCAGTTACACACACCTTAAGTGAAATTAATGAGATCACTCTAAGATTACGCTTTGTGTTTTATTTTCATTTTATAGGTCTGTATGAGCTGTTGGCTGCGCTGCCAGCCCAGCTGCAGCCACATGTGGATAGCCAGGAAGACCTAACCTTCCTCTGGGATATGTTTGGTGAAAAAAGCCTGCATTCACTGGTAAAGGTAAACCATGCTGATGTCAGATTCTCTTTGTGGAAAAACATATGGAAAAATATTTTGAGCGCCATCTAGTAAACCAGAGATTAAATTGTTGCTCTCTGAAAACAAAACAGCCTTGTTCCATTTCATTGATGGGTGTGGAAGTTGTTAAAGATTCTACCAAAAATACATACGTAGATGATTTCACTTAATGGTGGTGATTTTGCTGTGCATACTAATGCAGCAAATATGTGGTCGCCCTTGTTTAGAAAAAGAATATGAAATAGTAGCAGGAAGGTTTAGACTCTTTATGGTCAACATTCATGAGCTGGAATTTAACTTAAATAAATAAATGTTCCTAGCAAAAATTAGAAGGAATATATTTTCTTAGGTTAAGGATGGCAGCAGTTCAGTAGCCACATTAATTTAAAATAATTTCCTTTAACAAAGTCAACTGAAATTCTAGTAAGCTATTTCTTTTCTTGGCTTGATGCCATGGAAGTGGTGTTTTGTGTATAAATACGCCGAAGCTAAATACGAATAAAAACAGTGTTTTGAGACAGTTTTAGTAAAGCATCCTGTCATGAAAATGATCAGTCACCAGAATTCAGATCTTGCCACACAGCAATCCTGGGAGTGATCAGAATTCTTAAAATAGTAAAATGAGAACAAGAAACTTACTGGAAAATATGCCACTCTTGCCTCTGGAAATATGAATCGCAGTTTCTCTCATTTAACTCAAACTGAGAGAAATTTAGAGTCTGTGGGAGCCAGGATATCATGATGCCTCAACAATATCCAGACCTGTACTTACTTCCACTAAGTCTGCATGGTTGTCTGTTCTGATAAGATGCTTTTAATTGAATTACAGTAGTTGAAAGCGAGCAACTTCTGCATTGCAATTGCTTCAAAGGACAGGAAAATTATTACTTTTTTTCCCTTTGAAATTTGTGTGCCTCAAGCAGTGGCAATTCTCAAGAAGTGAAAGTGTTATGTGGCATTTTTAGCATGACATGTAAAACCTAAAATGTCTTATATGCTTATTTACTTGTTATATAATTGCTGCCAAGGTATTGTTATGTTCTGAATAATTTTAGATAGTTTAGCTGGTCTTCTAAGATGTATTACAAAATAGTGTTGGGATTATAGTGGATGAAGTTTATGACTTACTGAGGCAACCATAGAAATATTCCTGTGTTGAATGTGTAGAAGTTGGGTAGGTATGGATTTGTTTCAATTCACTTAGACAGAGGGATAAAATATATTTCAAATGGCATCATTACCCCCTAATCATTAAGTACAAATGCCCCAAACAACGGATGCATTTGTGCCTGTATATTTATAACATGGATGCTATCACAGTTTCCTTACCTATGAAATGGAAATTATAACATCTGTTGACAAGGCTGTCTGGGAGTTTCAAATAAAACAGTGAAAGTCTTAGTTCTTTGATTGTTATATGTGTTCAGCAAATGGAAGTAAGCATTATTAAGTAATAAGGAAAAATTAAAATTTAAGTATCTTAGCATGCAAAAGGCCAAAATGAATGACAGAGATACCACTCTTGCCTTTGGAAATATGAATCACAGTTCTCTCATTTAACGCAAACTGAAAGAAATTTTGAGTCTTACTTGAGTCTATGGGAGCTAGAAACTAAAGTAAGAGATGGCTGTTATTTCTATAAAAAAATAAAAGCAATCTGTAAAAAGATTCTTAGTTACACTGACTGTTGCGTTTTAAACGTAGGGTTTTTTTTTCTTTGTTTTTTTATTTTTTAAATGTTATCTTTATTGTTCACAGCATTACAGAAGTCCCATTTTTTTCTCATTAACCTGCCTTCCCTCTGCTGTTGCCTCCCCAGGGCTTCACCCCACTATTATGTGTCCATGGGTTATGCCCTTATGCATGTAAGCTCTTTGGCTGACCTCTTCCCTCTCCTGCTCCCCCTTCCCTCTGAGAATCCTCAGTCTGTTGCATGCTTCCATGTCTCTGGATCTATTTCGTCAGTTTATTTTGTTCATTAGATTCCAATAAGAGTGAGATTATGTGGTACTTATCTTTCTCTGACTGACATTTCACTTAGCATAATACTCTCTAAGTCATCCATGGTGTCCCAAAAGATGAGAGATCCCTCTTTTTTACTGCTGCATAGTACTCTATTGAGTAACTGCACTGCCGCTTTTTTATCCACTCATCTACTGAAGTATCAGAAGAAAGATGGTACTGAAAGAAGACCTAGGAAATATCTTAATTTATAAAGAGGTAATATGCACATTAGGCCGGGATGCCGTAATGAGACAACTGGACAGGAGGAGGTTGTGCCGTAGGTGAGGGCTGGGTGAAGATGGAGACAGAGATGGGGGGGCCTTCCCGAGCAAACGCGGCAGCTCTGGCGGACCTGAGTGGACACAGGCAGGGAGTCCAGGGGGGTCTTGCTGCGGGGGAAGTCAGACGTGGGTCCTGGTTGCCCATGGCAGCCATCTGGCTTGACTCTGTGGCAGCCCGCGGGGTGCCTCCTCATATAGCGGGAGGTAGGACACCTCCTCACACGATTTCAATTGCACGCTGGGCCTCTAGTCATATATAAGAATGGAAATACCGCCCGGCCAATATGGCTCATTGATTGTCACCCGTGACTCTGACAGTGGTGATACTTCGACGTGGTCTGAAGCTGTCACACTGGGTGGGTTAGCTAGTGGGCCTCCCCAGAGGTACAGACCCAGGTTGCCATCGCCTGTGTCCTGCCCTGTGTGGGTCATATGTCCTGCCAATGACTGCTACCTGTCCTGACTCAGAGATCGCCAGGTGAGGCCATGCTGTAAACAAGAGTGGCTGGTGCTAGTGCTGGGTTTGAAGCAACTTAGTAAGAGGTATGGGACACGCTGAGACCAGAAGCTGCTTGTTTGAGATATTTTAGTAAAATCCGAAGCATGAACCAAGGCAGGCCTTTCACATGGAAAAGCCACTGGAAACAGCTTTAGTAGACCTGAAAGTTGAATGGGAGCAGGATCTCAGGGAATTATCAGGGAAGGGAAGACAGTGTGAGTCAATTTGATGTAGACTCAGCTGCCTGCTGACTCTATGGGGGAAGAGCCCATCAAAGGAACAGTGGCCTCTGCAATCTTTTTTCTCCGGAAGAAAGTACTCCTCCACTTCCCAGCTCTCACCCTGATGCCAGAAAATTCATTTCCTCCCTGTATGTCTCTGCTGCCTTCCAACTTGCTGCCCCTATGCTGGAGCTCCGATGGAGTGAATCCCAATAAGTCTGTTTGCAGGCCATTTAAGAGGAACTGCCTGGGACTCCAGCAGCCCTATGTCCCTATGTCTCTCTCAGCCTCAATCCCTGTGGTTTTTACAGTCAGAAGTTATGAGGCCTTGTCTTAATTGTTCTGGAACCCTGGGCTAGGGGGTCTGGTGTGGGGCTACGACCCCTTGCTCCTCAGGAAACAACTTTGCAGCCAAGATATACCTCTCCTTTTTTCCCTTTCTATCCTCACCCTAAGGACATGCTCATTGATTTAATAGAGATAGGAAAGGAGGGAGGGAGGAAGGGAAAGAGAGAGAGAGAGAGAGAGAGAGAGAGAGAGAGAGAGAGAGAGAGAGAGAGAGAGAAATAATCTATATGAGAGAGAAACATTGATGGCTGCCTCCTGAGCACATTCCCTGACTTGGGATAAACTTGTAACCTAGTTATGTGCTATGACTGGGAGTTGAAGTCTCAACCATTTGATGTACTGGATAATGCTCCACCAACTGAGTCATCTGGCCAGGGCAATATCCCTCCCATTTTTATCTGCCACGTGTGGGTGTAGGGTTAGCATGTTCTATCTCTCCATTTAGCCAGATTTCAGGCACATCTGAATCTTGGTTGTTCTGTAGTTAATTTTACTTTTTATATGGTTATAAGAGGAGGTGAGTGCTGCATTTATGTACACTGCCATCTTGCCCAGAAGTGTTTTGGGCCTTTTTTTAGTGACTGGCTTCTGTCACTTAGCTTAATGTTTTTAAGGTTAATCTACCTCATAAAATATATCAGTACTTCATTCATTTTTATGGCCAAATAGTATTCTGTTGTTTGCATACTAGTTATACCACATTTTGTTTATCCCTTTTTCTGCTCATAGATATTCAGGTTGTGTCCACATATTGGCTATTATGGTAATGTTACTAAGAACATTTATGTACAAGATTTTGGGTGGGCATGTTTTCAATTCTCATGGGTGTATGCCTAGGAGTGGAATTGCTGGGTCAAATGGTAACTCTATATTTAACATTTTTAAGAACTGCCAGACTGTTTCCAAAGTGGCTACACCATTTTATATTCCCATTAGCAGTATATGAATGTTCTATTTCTGTCTATTCTCACCAACACTATTTTTTAAAAATATACTTTATTGATTTTTTTACAGAGAGGAAGGGGGAAGGACAAAGAGTTAGAAACATTGGTGAGAGAGGAATATCAATCAGCTACCTCCTGCACACCCCCTACTGGGGGTGTGCCTGCAACAAAGTACATGCCCTTGACCAGAATCAAACCTGGGATTCTTCAGTCTTCAGGCCTACACTCTATTCACTGAGCTAAACTACTTAGGGCTCACCAACACTATTTTTATCTGACTTTTTTATTGTGACCATCTTAGTGGGTGTGATATAGCTTACTGTGGTTATTAATTAGCATTTTCTTTATTATTATATAATATATATAATTAAGATGTTGCTAAACATCTTTTCATGTGTTTATTGGCTATTTGTTAAAATGTATGCTTGGATTTTTTGCCCATTTTCTTCCATTCCATTGGATTGTTTTAAGTTAATAGACTTTTTTAGATTTATAGAAAAACTGATCAGGTGGTACAGATAGCTTTTATGTACCTGCTCTCCACATACCTCCCACCACTATTTCTTGTATTTTTAACCTTTCATATTAGCATGGTACAGTTATTCAAATTAATGAACCAATATTGATAAATTAATATTAACCAGAGTCCATAGTTTTCATTAGAGTTTACCGTTTGTGTTGTACA